AATTAAATCTGCTTCCGGAATTATTTCATCGCCATGTTCAGCTAATTGTACTTTTTCATTATCCTCTGCGGCAAGTGTTTCCGCTAATTCCCTTAAAGTAGCAACGGTAACTTCTCTTGAAGTGGGAAGCTTGAATTTTCCTTTGTGGATAACAAGTTTCTCCAACTTTCGCTTTGCGGAAGCCTTTTCTATGATCTTAGTTTCAACCGTATTTGCAGTAACCAATCTATAAATTATAACTGGTTTTGTTTGGCCGATACGATGAACACGGTCTTGCGCTTGTAAATCCATTTGGGGATTCTATATACATATTTATTTAAAAAAAAATGCATTAAATAAAAACAAATGATTTGTAAGACTAAGTGCTAATTATTTCATATGAACTTACCCAATCACTATCATATATGATGACTGTATCCGCTGCGGTCAAGTTAATGCCTAAACCACCAGCTCGCGTGGATAAAATGAACAGTCTGATATCTGAGTTCGTATTGAAATCTTGAATCTAATATGAAAAGGCAAAAAAAAAAAAAATTACTCTTGATACGTTTCAATGTCTTTAAATATCGTTAAAATTAGTACCTGTTGTCGCCTATTTTCTTGGCTTACACCACCGTCAATTCTGCAAATTTGCCATTTCTTGAAAGTTGTTGCCCAGTCTTCAATGATATCAAGCATTGTTGTAAATTGGGAAAATATTAATACTTTATGATCGCGTTCAAATAGCTCATGAAGCAATTTTTCCAAAAGCATCATTTTCCCAGAGCTGGCTATCAATTCCTCAGAAATTAAATATTGTTCTGTTTCTGGATCAATAGGCCAGTCGAAAAGATATGGATGATTACAGATTTTGCGTAATTGCATCACAACGTTTTGTAGTTTCATTCCATTGATAGTCTTAACTAAATTAAATGAATATGTAATAAAGCAACGAATGAAATTAATAATATAATTATTTTTAGAAAATTGAACTGATAGCATAAAAAGGTTTACTTACCAGCTTTCATGGTCTTTGATTTCTTTTCGGCGTTAGCAGCCATTCTCGCTGCTTCCGCCTCATCAACTTGAGAGGAGAGCTCTTCCTCTTCTTCCAGAGCGTTGAAAAATTCGGTATCGGTAATTTCTTTATAAGATTGAAGCCTTCTTCCGCGGAGGCCTTTCTTACGTTTTCGAGACGAATTAGATTCCGAATCCTCTCCTTCTTCGGATGAGTCTATCGTTGTTTCACTTCCTAAATATACGCATAATTATGAGAATGCATAGAATCAAATGAAATTTTCATAATTCAAAACTTACTACTATCATTTTCTATAATTCCCATTTCGTTTTCAACCTCTTCCACCTTCTTAGCTAATAGGAATGGACGAATATTTCGAGACACTATAGCATCATATACTTCCTTTTGTTGTCTCGATAAAGGAGCGTATAAAAGATATTCTTTCTTTTTGGGAAGAGAATTTTCCACTATGAATAAAAATATTTTTTTAAGTTTTAATGGGTTTGAAACTCTTTTTACCAATTAAGGAGATGGGATTTTAAAGTTATATTTACCATCACTCTTTATACGACGCAACAAAAATGGTTTTAAAATTTTGTGTAAATTAGTAATAACTTCATTTGACTGCTCCCTAGCAAGGATACGTGATTCTCCATCTTGTTCGTGAAGCGCAGAGAAATCAAACCTATAGTAATAATATGCATAACTTTCAATAATCAACATTATAATTTTTCAAACGTTACCATAACTGTGTTTTAATTACCAATCCTGAAAACTATCAAGATCATCAAATATATCAGGCAAAAGAAAGTTCAAAAGACTCCATAATTCTGCCAAGTTGTTCTGAATATTAAAGATATGTGTTTATAAGGATCCCTTCTTTTAAGGAAAAAAAAAAAAAAAAGTTCAACCCAAAAAGTACATACTTGTAGTGGTGTCCCAGTCAATAGTAAACGATTTGCAGAATGATAACTCTTCAATTCCCGAATCAATTTGCAGTTAAGGTTTTTAATACGATGACCTTCGTCCACCACAATATACTTCCACGAGAATTTCTGCATTCGAAATAGTTTTTTTTTTGTCTTTAGTTAGTAACATGTTTGAAAATTGAACGAGGAAAATTTATAAAAGATCATAATAACCTGAAGGTATTTGCGATCATTCATCACAATTTCATAACTTGTAACTATAACGGGAAATGTGTGATCCAACTTTTTGAGTCTTCGCGTTCTAATATGAGACCGCTGTTCCGGTGTTCCATGATACAACACAACAGGTAATGTAGGAGTGAACCTGATTACGTTGAAAATCAATTAACGAAATTGTTGTAATAGCTAAAGATGGATAAGATAAAATTATAAAGAATTACCTATGAAATTCGCTGACCCAATTGGCCAGTGTCGAAAGTGGTGCAACAATCAAAAACGGACCAAAAATTTGGCGTTCCCAGAGGTATGCAAAGAAAGCAATGGTTTGCAAAGTCTACAAGATGATTTATGAGAGCGTTTTTTTTTTAAAAAAAAAGAATAACCCGAGTTTAAATATTTTAATAAAATTTTGAGAGTATTTTGATAATAACTAACCTTTCCCAAACCCATTTCGTCAGCCAAAATACCATTCAATCCATTGTCATACAAACTAACTAGCCATTCGACGCCGATTAACTGATAATCACGAAGGACGCCACCCGTAACTAACCTTGGTTGACGAGCGGGTATGTCAAACTTTTTGGAATCGTCATCTGGTTTAATGTCAGTAGAAGAAATCTCTTCTTCGTTTTCAACATGTTCTTCTATACTAGAAGAAATCACAGGCGTTGACTGTGATTCTGAACTTTTACGCCGTTTAGAAAGTTCCTAAGTTATTTGGAAAGTATTTAATCATTATAGGTTCTTTCGACTATCTTGATTCTAAATTAAAAACTTCAAAATTTCAAGGCTTACATTGTTTTCCACGTAATCCGCAATGCTATAATCGGCATCATTGGCCTTTCTTTTTTTGGTAGTGCCCGTTTTCTTCTTTGCAGTTTGTTTAGTAGCCGGTGATGTGGATTTTGCATTTACCCTAGTTGATTTTCGTGTGGGACCCGCAGAAATTTTTTCCTGTTTAACTTTTAACTTTTCTTTGGCGTTAGCGCGTTTTACTTCTTCGGCTTGAGCACGTTCACGTTGTTCTTGTTGTTGTCGTTCCATTTTATTGGCGAGAAATTGAGCATAAAGGGATGATTTCTCCAAAAGGAACTTGAGTCGTTGCACGCGTTGTTTATCCACAAGTGCATCATAATCAGCTACAGCCTAGGCATGTGAATTTTGATCAGTTTGTGAAAAAAGATTTTTTTTTTTTTTTTTCCTTTATCCCCAAAGATTGCCCATTATAATTATATGATATTGATTAATCAAATTTTTTGTCATTAATGAAAGAAAATCCTCAAGTACGTAAGATTAATGCATATATTAATATAATCTAATCTATATATCAATTTATACCATTTAGATCAAATGATTACAAAAAGAATGTGACTTAACTATTTCAAGAAAAAAAAGAAAAAAAAAATTTTTTTTGGATCGTGTGGCTTAGGCACAAGGCTAGACGCGTCTTTTTTAACTACCTTTTCCTTAAGCACTTTCAAGTTTTCTTTCTCGGTTTCAGTATGCAGCTTTCCTTCTTCTTCTTTCATGGACTCGGTGATGATTTGCTCATCAGAAGGTGTATTTACAGAGGAGTCATTACTCATAAAAGACGGAGAGTCCTATAATAAAAAAAAAAAAGAATGCAAAAAACGTGTCAAGTCTCACTTTTGCCGTTACTTTGACCGGATAACAGTATTTTTATTTTTTTTTCATATATGGTGAAAGTCAATGTAGTCACAAGACGCGACAAAAACTGACATTATAAAGGACGCGTTTTCTTACTTTATCAAGCGGTGGAGTTGAAACTTCAGCAGCAAAGTTATTGCTTCTCATAATATTTACTTCTTCTTTAACTAGAGACATTATGAACTCAAAAAAAGTGACTGAAAAAAAAGAGAAAAAAAAAGTTTTTTTTTATTCTAAATTAAAATAAACACAAAACACAGGCGCGTCAATGAGTTCAAAAGAAGGAAATTGAAATAATTTTTTATGGGGGAATAATCAAACAATTTTTATATTGATCTAAATTTTCATTTTAACAATAAAATTGTACCGAATTACTTTCTAATTTCCTTTTCAAGAATGAAGTCACGTTAATAAACTTTGATTAATAATAGTTACTTCTTTGAATCGTGAGACGTAAGACTATGCTATGCGCATGGCTTAGCACTCTTTATATCATTAGATCTCAAGTAACAAATAGTCCTTTGTACGAGGGATTGATGCGCTCTTTGAATAAAATAAACTTCTATGAATTACTAATAAAAATTAATTATCCGAAGTTGGGAAGTGGAAAAAAAAAAAAAATCGTTGATCGGATTTTTTAGAAAAAAAGGTTATTAAATACCTCAAATGAAATGAAATCGAATTAATAATCAATACTATCCAACGAAAACACAATTCAGCCATTTACAGTAATTGTCAAACTTTATTATTAAGTAAGGTATATTAAAAAAAAACCATCGTGAGACTTTTTATGTACAAGGAAAATTAAAAAACGAGGGATTTGTTTATACGAAAAAATATAAATTAATAAAGAAAAGGTTAATGAGGGAATCCATTTATATTGTGATTACATTATCCTTTCATTTATTAAGATATACATATAGGGATGAATAAAGTAATAATAAAAAATTATAAAGGATTAGGATTTGAGAATTTCTTTGTATAATAATTAAGGTGTTAAAACGGAACATTTTGTTTTAAAATTGTCTAATATGGATTGTTGTTAAAATTTCTTTTTCGTCTAATAAAAGATGACTGTGGTTTTATGCGTCGTGTAACGTACGTGATATTTTATCAATAAAACCGTCAAAATGCACGTGAAAATTTTTTATTTTTAAATTAAATAATTTAGGTAAATAATACTTTTGTTATAATTCAGGAGGTAAAGGAGGAGTTCTAGCAAATTTAGGGTTGAATTCGTCGAATTCTTTAACCATTTCGTTAGTAATATTCTTTAAACCTTCTTCAGATGCAAAGCGTGGAGGTGTCTTCTCCCATAAACCTTCCAAGTTACGATATTTTCTTGCCTCGGGAGTAAAAAGATGAACAAAAATTGATCCGGTATCTATTAACATCCAATCTTCTGAATCACGTCCTTCGACAACTGGATAACTTTGTGACGAAGAATTTGTTGGATCGGAATTTTGTATATGTGTTTCATCTTTTAACTAAAGAAAAAGAAAAAGATATTGCTTAGAGATGATTCCCCTTTAGCGAAAATCCCTCCAAAGAATTTTATTTGATACTTGCCATTTTATAAAGTCCATCCACTGCCCCACCTAAATGTCGGGTGGTTTTTCCTTCACCTATAACCATCCAATCAGTGAAATCACATTTTTGCTTCACATCAATCGCTGTTATATTTTCAATTCCTTCTTCCTCTAAAAACCTTATAATATCCAAAAATTTCGTTCGTTGATGCTCATCACCTTCCATTAACTTATACTTATTTACATTAGAAGATTCATCAGAAAGAGAAGTTGCTTTTCTTTGCCATAACGGTACGAAATCTCTGCTTTCTTCTTGTGGATTTTCATAAGCTGGGTCAACAAACCACGCATCATCCGCATCATTATGTTCTTTCTCTTCTTCATCCGATAACTCATACGATATTGCTTCTGGAAATAGTTCAGGATATAATGATTTATCTATTTCTTCAACTTCCTCCTTTTCTATTTCTTCTTTAGTAACTTTATTGTTCGGTAATATTTGTGTAGAAAAATAAACTTGCCTTATATTTGGTTTTAAAAATATATTTGAATGGGAGGATAAATAATTTATTGGTCTTTTATAATAAAGTTTTTTCGAAAATTTTGTAAACGCTAATCTTCGTACATAATTGAAGTTCATAATTAAAAAAGTTATTTCGTAAAAAAAAAGGTATTCAACGATTTGATAATCATCAAATTTACTGATGGGTGGCTTAGCGGTTATTTTTTGACAATCAAACGTATTTCAATATTAATAAAAAAAAATTTCCCTTTAATTCTTAAAGAAATGGCAGCCATTCTATCAAGTGCAATATTTCGTCGTCAAAATTCTCGATACATTAGCTTATATAATGATGCTTTAATCTCTACATATTCCACACCACTTTCAACCTATATGCAAACGTTTTGGAGAGATTCTCAAAGAAAAGCCGGTACTTTATTTGGCTTGGCTCAAATATTAGGACCTATTTTATGGGCTGTTCCAAAGAAAAAAACTTCACATTCAAAAAAGAGAATGCGTTCTGCCAATAAAGGATTGAAAGATAAAACAAATATAGTCGATTGTCTTGGTTGTGGTCAAAAACACTTGGTACATCATTTATGTCATAATTGTTATAAAGATTTTAAGTATAGAGAAAAGATGGAAAGGGATGGCTTGTCATTTTATTGAGAAATAAAACTACTTTTTGATTTCTTGATAAAATTCATTGAAATCAAGTCGAACACTAAGAAATCTCAAATCTGTATCGTGATGACGTGATAATGTCGTCAGTAAATTTACCAATTCTCCCTAATGTCATAAAAAAAATTAGTGAAAATCGGGTTTGAAATTATTCGAGAATAAAGTTTGATATGTATTTACTTTGAATAATCCAGCAACTTCTTCTAAACGTTCCTGGATCGGTTTGAAGTTTTCTCTTGTATTTATACTTGAGGATTTGATACTAGCGGAATATCCCCGAATTTTCTCGGGATTTGACATATCAGAATCTCTAGAATCTCTCAAAGCGAAATTATGAAGTTCATCCTATTATAAAAATTGGAATAGTTTAAAATAAAATCCAACGGTAAATAGACAAGAAATAGTTCATGATATTACCAATACATTCTTGTACTGTAAAATATATCCGATAATTTTCAAGAGCCTTGACAAATAATTCTTAACAATTTTTTTTTTAAAAAAAAAAATTAGCAAAGATATGCGTTTGATTAAAAAATTTAAGTATTAATAAAGAGAGTACCTGATTATTTGACGTGCCTAGAAAACTTTTTGTTGTAACATTTGTCAAATATTTATTGTGAGCCTCGATAAGAGAATCCAAATCCCCGGATTTTTTATTAATGTCAGTCACAAGTTCATCCCAAGAGCATTCGATCACCTATAAATTAATTCAATTTAATAAAATCGTAATTATAACACATAATATGAATTAAAATTATTAAGTACCTCAAATAAAATATAATATTGTAACTGATACACAAAATGTATCATCTCACTACAAACTAATCTACTAGTAATTATTTCTTTTTTAAACTCTGTAAAAATAAATAAATAATAAAAATTAACAATGATGATATTTTTGGTATTATTAATGATATATAAAATTTCATACTTTTAATTTGATATAAACTTCTTGCACTAGTCATATTACGACGCCAAGCTGTTGATAAATCATGCTCAACGCGTTTTAAACGCCATAGAAAATTGAACAATTTAAGATATTGTTGCATTGCTTTTGGTGTGAAAATCGTGTTTATAGGCGAATCAACATGATAATCTAAGCTAAAAACATCCCAACCGATATCACCGGAGGAAACCTGATTAAAGAAAATTCATACTAAAAAGTTTACGAAATTTTCTTGCGAAATGTCGCAAATAATATTTTTTGACGAACCTCAAGAAGCCTAACATCCAACCTTCGCAGAATATCCGGGTCATCATATTGAGCGTTAGATGCACGAATAGCGGCTTCCAATGTGCCAGTAAGGTTGTGGCGATAAAGAGTATTCGCGGGTTTTGAAAGGCCAGATCTAATATAAAAGAATAGATTAATAAACTATTTTGTAAGGATGCGTTACAAATTAAACCTTACCCTAGTTGAGCCATTAAATGTTGTATAAAATCACCTTGACCAAGTAATAAATATCGTTTCAAGGCAGTCAAATGTTCTTTAAGTTTAAATTTAGTGAATAGAATACTCAACAGTCTTTGACTTGTAGCAGTATATGTGGCGTCAATCGAGCTTTCAAGCGCTATAATATCGCCGTACTTTAACACTATATTCCATAAAACAATTATGTAAATTTCTAATTCCGCATAAGTACATTATTTGAAAATTAGGATAATTACATTTATCAGCACCAGTTACTTTCCCATTGGTAACGACCCAATCACTGTCGTGACAGCTATAACGAATAAAGTTAAGTGACTTTCCTATAGAAAATATCTAATCAAAAAAAAAAGGTTATGATAATCCATTTTAACACGTCTCCAAAAAAAAAAGGATCACATCAAAAGCTTACTTTTTTTGCAAGTAAAGTACTAATAAATGTTGGTTGCATTTTTACACGATTCAAATATTTTAGTTGCCACAATTGCTCTTCTAAAACATTAGGATCACAAGCAACGAAAAACTCTTCAAAGGGATCCTCCAATTCACCCTCATATATCCAACGCTGCAGCATTTCAAAGAATGGACGCGATACCTGTAACAATAAACATTTTAAAAAAAATTAAACGTGGTGATTTTCAAAGAATAAGATGTGAATCACTTCTAATACCTCTTCAAGTGTATTGTTAATAAATTGCTGAATGAAAGGGTCTCCATGATTCGTGTAATGATAAATTGTCGACACTAATGCTCCACCTCTTTGCTTTTTACAACAATCAACAAGAACTGACATTATTCGTAATTTCAAAAGCGAATCTTGCGTCCATACCAGTAGACGTTTTAAAGTAAGTCCTTGCGAAGAAACTTGTTCGCCTTCAACTTGTTTGGTAACTTGAGCTTCCAAAACAGCAATGGATCTATAATATTCAGTCAATTCACGTTGTAAGGCAGAACAGAAGGCCTGATAGATTTCGTAAGATATTCAAACTCTTGATTTTATCCTTCAAATATATTTCTAAAGAAGACATAATTATTACCTGACCAACCAGTCCAATAGAAGGATCATTTACATTTAACGTCACGAACTCATTGACACGTTTATAAAGCCATCCAAATTCTGTAAGTCTATGTAATAAGTCGCGTGTCGATCGATTTATATCTAGCTATTGGTTGGAAAAATTTGGGAAATTTATTAATTCCAAACTATATTTTTTTTTCAAAAAAATATCAATAATTCTTCATACTTTTGGATCGATTATATATGATGAACTATCTGCGTTATATTTAATAAATTGTCCGTTAATTCCTTGGAAAATAAATACGATGTCTCGTAACAACAATGACTCAGACACCTCTACATTAGCTTGGTATATCAAAAAATCAAATCAAAAATAAATTTTAAAAACCCAGTTCTATGATGACATTAAATTACAAAAAAGGTAACATACAACTCTCAAGTTCTGCCAATTGCTTCTTCAGAACGGATCTAGAAGGCAATGTTTCTTCTTTCGAAACTTTAACAATAGTAGTCTTAGGAGGAATATTTGGAATAAATCGATTTGATGTCTCCTCAGACGATTGTTTATTTGATAAATTTTGTAATCCGCGATATGAGAATGCTTGTTCTAGAGACTAAACAAGAAACAATCAATAAATTTAAATATTATAAAGTTAACCAGTGATATATCATAAAAACTTACAGATGTATTAACGATTTTTCCTATTTCACCAATGTTAGATTGATCACTGAGTGATAATAAAAAATATAATATAGCCCATTTTCTCGTTACGGTTGTCTAACAAAAAGATCATTAATTCCTAAAACAGAATAACAAAAAGAGAAGCAACAAAAATAAAGAAATGACTTACTTGAGATTGCAATTTAGAGAATAAGTTTGCGAAACGTAAAGCCTTTGATGATGATTTATGATCGCGAGCCACTGATTTATAATGTTGAGTTAATGGGTATAGAGTAGAACTAAAGAATGAAAATGAAAAAATACGTACATTTTTTTTTGATAAGATCAGATACATGTAATTCATCGCTCACAACTGTAGGAGTCATTCGACTGTCGGATGCATTTTAAGAGATAAATCAAAGTTAATATCAGATACCTTCGTTGATATTTATCTTGCTTTTTGTGAGATAAGACAGAGAAAAGCAAGACTGGATAGTTCGTACTTGCATTGCAAGAAGGTCAAGGGCAAATTACCTGCCCAATATCCTCATGCAGTAGTCAAAAGTTTGTTGTTGATGTGTTGTCAGTTCGGCATTTTTTCCTACTTCAGTAGAAGTAAGAGTTCCTTTACCATTTGCTTTACTGACCGTGTTTAAATTTTCGCGTAAAATGTTTTTAATCAAGCGAGTAAGCGAACGCGAGATGCGTTCGATTTCTACATCAGCAAATTGTGTTGAGCTTTTCGAGCTTGTAGGATTTGAATTACCATAGAAGCTAGTCATAACGGAATGGAAAATTTGTTTATCGAGAACAAAAATTTTAGATCTGCCCAATTTATAGACAATGATTTTCACGTGATTTATAATGGGAGAAAAGCCTCAAGGTTTTTTTTTTATATAATACGCGTATTAAATCTCACAATTTACATCCGGACAAACAAAAATTATTTTCAGGTTTGTCTATATACTAATTCATATGGAGTTTCCTGTAGAATCAATCTTTTCATTCAATAGACTGGTCGAAATTCCGTGTCAATTCAAATGCCGAAAAAAATTTATTCTTATTTTTTTTTTTTGCGCTGGAACTAGATTACGCGTTTTTGATTATTTATATAATTATAATTAATTAATTTAGTCATAAATTTGATCTCTAATTCAGTAATTAAAGAAATAGAAATAGATTATTTATAAAATTTAATTAAATAAAATAAATGGTAATATTAGATAAGATGACATACCGATGATTCATATTAAGGTTGTTAAATCACGTAACCTCCGTAACCTAGTTCTAGCAGGTGACTATTTATACAAAATATTACTCTTATGATAGATAATCTATTTCAATTGCAAATTATGAAAAAAGAAAAAAAAAACCAAAAAGAAAAATCTTAGGTCTTAGGTCAATTTACCTCACCACTTGCAATCACATGCATCGCTAATATAGAATTTTGATGTAAAGTCTTAACAGCGGCTTGTTTAATTTTCTGATGTTCGCTATCAATTTTTTGCATTATTATGTAACTTAACTTGTTCTGGTTAAAAAGAAAGTGGAATAATAACGTTAGAATGTGACAGAATTGATCCTGATTCCGCCATTAAGAAGAAAGATAGCGCGAATTTTCCAAACATGAACGAATGATACAAAGATATTTTGTGACTGAAAAAACGCGGTTTATAATAAAGGTACAGTTACTGATCAAAGTTACACAGAGTTCAGGTGGGACCGTCCCAAATAAGGAAACCGGTTACACAATTATTAAAAAAATTTTTATACAGTTTAAAATACGATTTACAGGGGTTTTTTTATTACTCATATTACATTGAATAGTGAGCAAATTCATTAAGCAAACTTGAAGTATTCGTGCTGTTCTACAATATATTTGTTTAATTCCCGTTAATTCCGCACCCTTATATTTCTATTTACCTATTAAAAACATGTATGAAACAAAGCGTTATGAAGAATGCCAAACTACTAAATCAACCAAATTTCGTTCATTAAAAGGAGAAAAGTGTAGAGAAGCTGTCTATTAAAGATAACATAAAAGGAAGGTATTATTTTATGTAATGTTTGTTACATGAGTTTTGTAGAAAATCCTCTAAAAAAAGATCCTAAACAAGTAAAAATTATGAACGAAAATGTTATACATGAGGAGAAGGTAAAGTATGAAGATTGATAAAAGAAGAAATCATATATTTATTTGATGAAATGCTTGAAAAATTTCAGAATATTGAACCAAGTTTAAATGATTTTTTTGACTATCTTTATTTAACAGTTTACCTGTTTAAATGTAATAAGCAAACAATAGACTATATGAAAAGACTAATGGTATTTATATACTATTTTTTACCTTATTAAATAATATGAAAATTAATGCTTTTAAATTTGATATTACATTCTATTTAGATTCAGTAGGTATAAGTAATAAGGGCTTGAATATGATAGCGAATCTGATGTGACTACAACATCAAAGATTGGTAAATCACAAGAAAAAATTTTCAGATTTGCATAGAGACTACATAGAAATACTATTGTAAAATATAGTCAACTCTTATTATAACGAATTTTATGTCTTAAATCTCAATTTCACTATAAGGTTATAGTGAAGATTTTAAGAGATTTGATTAGTCAATTCACTATACAGTCAACTCTTGTTATAACGAACTCTATGTCCTAGACCTCAACTTCACTATAAGGCTATAGTGAAGAGTTTA